GAGGGGCGGAGTGGGGAGGAGCGGAGAGGGGAGGGGCGATGACAGCTAAGGAGCGGAAAAAGAGAGGGGGAGCTCTCACACGAATTGCACCTTCGCGATGCAATAGGAGCCATGTGGTACAGCAACAGAGTAGGACTGTTCTTTCCCGCATTAAAAAACAAAACAAAAACAATTCCTGATCGTCTCATTATAAATATATTTGCCTGGATATACTATTGCCTTTAATCACTTATCTTGAGCGAAATAAATATTTTTAGAAACGTGCGTTTTGACAAAGGAATGTCGTTTTTAGAGTTTTGGATGCTATTATGCTACGTAAATTACTTTGTTAGTATAAAAAATTAATTAACGGATCATTTTTTGTCGAAATTTATATTTTTCTATATAGTAACAACACGAATTGGATGTTTTTAACCTCACGACTGTACCTACATGAGCAAAGTGAGGATCATGACGAAACGCACGATGCACAGAATATGCACCCGTAAAAATAAAACAAGAATTCGCACGTTAAAACAATATTTATTTACTGAATTGCACGGCACTGACAATGGTTTACTTTCTGACTCATAACTCTCCCTCCCGTGCATCAAGATCGTAACGTACGTAATACAAAACAGGAAAAACAGAAACATGTGCACACACGCATAAAACCCTTTTCAAGAAAACAATGGCAGACGCCCTATAAAAATATGCAATTATGGTGAGGGCTGAGATGCGGCGATGTTCTCTACGAATATTGCCTCGTACGGCATCTGATATTTACCTACTTCGTTCATTTCTGCTCCTCACATCCGACCACCCACTAAACCTTAGAACAGCAGAAATGTTCTCACATTCTCCCATTTTTATATAAAAAAAAACACTCCAGCTATGAATTACTGAAAGTATATTCTAAAAATTACTTTCTGCAGCAATTATTTCAAAAGGCATCGGCTCCTTATCTTTAGTAAGTTCCCGGCCACTATTGAAATAAAATAGACGTTGCTTATAACCAACATTGGCTTATCATAGCCCCTATGATCATTACAATTCGTCCACTTTGGTGGCTGGACAAAACGGGTCGTCATATGACTTACAGCCATCAAAACGTACGTAACATAGTGTTCGTACGTCTAACAATGGTCCGAGCCTCTAAATTCCGTGGACACAGAGTAAATTGAAAGGGGCCGCTATTTTAGTGGATGATTTGCACGTACATTTCAAATCTGACTCAGCGATTTCATTAGTTTCCATAATTATTTTTAATTTTGAGTGAGCGCAACAGAAATAAAAATATAAAATGAAAATCCAAAACATTGTGATATGCTGATGTTTAGATACATATTTTCTATGCCAGCTGCCATTTTGGAACAAGATATATGCAAGTTTTCTCACGATAGTTCTTCAACATTAACAATTAATTACTGATTAAGGAACAGCATAGATGTTTCGTAATATTTCGTCCAGAAGAGCCAAACTGTACAAACGTGTACCCTGAATTTGAAATTCATACAATGATTTTTTTCGCGTATTTAATATTATGCCGGAAAACTCATAACCATATTGTATCCCGTGTATAATATATTGTTATTCTAAACAACTTGCCCCTAACACAGTCACAACTATGTCTATGAGGTACGCAACTTTCCACTACAATAGCGGCCTTCAAATTATTCCACGACAGCAACTGTCTCAGAGAGTCTATTTTAATTATTTTCCAACGATTTTGCAATGATTTTCCTTTCACCGCCATTCTTCTGTTTGCCTTGATCCTGCATTGGGAACTGATGGATCATGACGATTATCATTTAATGGTGTTATATATTCTCTTATGGAGAGAATTATGGGAGGAAAATATGAAAAAATAATCCGAGTCAAGTTAACAACTAGTTAATTAGTAAATAAGTCAATCAGAATCATTAAAACTACCCAAAAATAAAATAATGTATATACCATGGACGTTAACTGGTTCTAATGACCTCGATTATTAGAACCCTTATAACACCCTTGGAGCATAAATAACTATTATCTTATCTTATATTGTTCCTCATCGTACCCTTTGTGAGGGCAAATCAACATCCTGCCGCACAAACAATAATTTGAACAACTACATTTCCCTCTGGACTCTAGAAGACGTGTATTGATAGCGAAATTCCATTGCATTCCAGCGGGCCTCGCTGCGACGAGCATATGCATTAGGGATCTGACATCGGTGTCGATGTTTTTGTAGAAACATCGATGTTTTCGAAGTTGTCTTTCTTCATATTCATTTCGCACATTGAGATGTGGTCAACAAATACGCTATAGGCGTAGGGTCTTCTCCTTCTTCTCGTACTTTTTTAATTATAAACGTACCTCGTACGCTCTACTCTTCTACATTTATTCGGCGAACTGATAAACATGCACACTGCCAAATTGAATTTTAATGCACACAAATTTAATGTTACTAATCTACTAATCTAATGATACTAATGTTACTAATCTCCTAGTCTAAAAACATCAATATTGACAAACATCGATGGTTTTTAGTCGTGTTTTAAACATCGATATTTTAATTCTGAACACCCATGTTTGTGATCAATGTTGTGTTACCGATGCCGCATCACCGTTATCGGAATGATGCGTTATTGCATTGCCACCGATGTTTTGTTGCCGATGTCGCATCACCGTTATCGGTATGATGCGTTATTGTATTGACACCGATGTTTCGTTACCGATGTCGCATCACCGTTATCGGTATGATGCGTTATTGCATTGCCACCGATGTTTCGTTACCGATGTCGCATCACCAACACGCACCTTGAGTCGGCCGGCCTCCAGGCGCACGAGCAGGTAGTCGGTGCGGCCGGCGGCGAGCAGGAGTAGTGCGTCGGCGCGCCGCGTCCGGAAACGCAGCGCCAGCTCCGTGGTGGAGCGCGCGTCCTGTAGCGGCACCGCCACGTAGCTTGCCCCGAAGAAGGACGCTGCAACACAGGGGAGCGAGAGTGAGCGAGTGTTTGTACTTGAGTCTAAGAATGAATGATAAAAAAAATTACACAAAAAAGAACTTTATAAAGAACTATTTATTCTTTATAAAGTTCAAATCAATTATTACCTACATAAAAACTAAAGTTTCAGAGAGGCAATTGTATTAGTTTTAAGAATATTTATTAAGTTAGTTTATTTTATTTAAAAGGTATTTATTACACTTATACATTAAATAACTAGATACTATGTGACTATACCGAAGGTCTTTAAGCCATTACCATACCTACATCCTACCGTGTTAGAACTTTTCGATTTGTGATATTCACTCCACATGGTCTTTCCATCCCATCAAAACCGCGAAAAGAGAATTTATTGAAGTTAGTTTATTTAAGATAGCCCCGACCCCGCTGCAAAAGCCTTATCGACTGCAACGAAAACACATGTATTCAAATATTTGAATAAATTCCCGCCTCTACAGGGTAACTGGAGAGGGGAAAATTGAAAAAAAGAAGAAAAAAACACAGGCGCCGCGCCTCCGATAACCACCTCGTCCCCACGCGCACACACGCTGCCACGCCCCTCGACAAGGCCTGAGAGTTAAAAACAATGCTAACCCTCCACCATTCCTCCAAATTACCTCAACCACATATTACATCAAATGAAATTGAGGAGTCCAAAGGGACTGGATCGCTTACATTACATCTAAGTCAGCTATTTATTAACTCGTCAACACTCCCTTTTAAAAGCTAATCCGCTGTATAAGAAAACTGTTTAATAAAAAAATGCGACAGCTCAGCGGCAGTTTTGTTGACCGGGAAGTCCTCGGGTCAGACGGTGATCGACACTACATACATAGCTGGATTGTATTCAACTACTACCTGAAGTAGAATTCTGCCAGGTAACTCGGATTGGTAGTTTTGTGTGGGTTCTCCGATCAATACCGAGCAAATGCAGAGGAATGCCCTAACAAACAGGCCACGAACCGCGCACCGCTGTATCCTCGAGCCTGTTTCTCGCCTCTAGTACACACACACACACACGCACAAATCCACGCACGCACACTCATTTGTGTTTGGTTTAAGAATCATTTAAGTAACCAGCACCAGTAGGTAAGGGTTGGAAGCAGCTTGTCAGAAAGAGTAAAACTCGTGGGGTTCCGCAGGGGACTGTACTTTGACCTTCCCATTTGTGCACAGTTGTGTAAACAAGTTAAACTACCACATATATCGGGAGATCCGTTAGCGGCATACAGCTTGAACCGTCTGACACCGTGCCCTACTGGCAGAGTGACTTTGAGGAGGGAAACCTAACAAGTCCACGTGTAGATCGACGCCGAATCAGCCAAAGGCGAAATTCCGTCACCCTCCGGGATATAATACGCACTCCACTTTTGGTACAATTGACCTTACTGATTGACGCGCAACAAATGAATGCTCACTCACTAACTCACTTGATTTAAAAAGGCGATTTAGAATGAATTGTGACGTAGTGAAATAAGAAATAAATTTCAATAACAAAAGAAAAATAATATATTAAAGATTATGAGGCTGACACCCCACCAACTGTTCCCAAGATAGCTCGCCGGCTGGCCGAGGCTCGGCAGCCAGCAGTTAGGTTGTACGCCACACACGGATCTCAGGTTGGCTCGCCTGCCTCCGTAAGCGAGGCTCGCCGGCTTAAGCATTCCGGAGATACCTACGAGTATTTTTGGCTTGCGGTATAGAAGTCACCCGCCAGAGCGCAAACTCCCGAAAGTTCAGGCTCAACCCCTTCTCCCCCCGCAGCGTACTTTCACGCGACTAACGTTCTGGCCCTCGTGTTAAACGACGCCACAGAATACACTTTCGACGTGCATAAACGTATAATCGTTTTACACTAAACACGTGGGTTATTTATAACAATACATTTTAACATTACGAGTAAATCAATTTCTTAACTACAGTTTCAATTGAATTATAAAGTTACTTTGATAGAACACGCCTTATTGATCGTGAATTTTCTATTACATTAGCCACTTACAGACTTCAAGCAGGCAAAATTGATCTTCAAAAATATACTGATTCGTTCTTACGTTCTGAGATTGAAACGGAAACTCACGATGTTCGCAGTGAAAATACAAAAAATTCTCGCACAGATGGAAAAACCCTATGGTAAAAAGAAATAGATAGAGAAATGCATTCAACTCTTTAATTCCCAAGGATTTTCTAAAAATATGAGATGAAACATCGATATTGAAAATATAATTCGATAAAGGAAAGTTAAAAAGGTCAATTGTTAATTCTACATCTGCAGGGAGGCAATGAAAAAGGCACTTCAAATGAACAGTAAACCTTATATTTATTCGGGTATATATTAGTAAGAAAATGTGTATATATAAATATATATATATTAATATATATAATATATATATATAATATATGGAACTAATCATCACAAGAGCTGAGATGAATAAAAATAAAGAGTGATCCATAGTAGAGAATAATGTAATAATTTAAAAGAATGAATATTCATCTAGATAATGTTTAAATATATAATATTTAGCTAGTGCAGAAGAATTTACAATTGAGTTAAGGCAGAGACAAAAAGAGTAAGACTACTGGGGGATATTGAATTGATCACGAATGTCTCAGTGTAAATGTTACAAACTTCGCGGACAGCAGAGTCGAAACTTGATCACTTTTTGCCAATTAACATTGAACGGAAATCATTCCATAACAAAGGTGTGTACGTTATTACTCCTCTTTGGGGCGGGCATCTAACAGTGTGCACTGGTATAAGCAGCACTCGTTCTCACACAACCAAATGAGATTTCGTGGTAACTGTTAGCACCTTGAATTGAATGATGAATTGATCAGTGATTGGCCCCTTATTTTTACGTGGGCGGAGTCTCGCATGCAGCCCTGTGAGATCGGTTTCTGTCTGACCCGCCGCAAATGTCCGCGTATGCGTCCTTTCAACCAACGTGTGAAGCGGAGGAAAGAAGGTATTCTTGGGGAAACGAAACAGGCGACTATGTTTTAGAAGTTTGATGGTCTAGTGGATGTTGAGTGAATAATTGGTGAGTGTGTATAGCGTCGGTAGCGATGTCGGTAGACATTGGTGCGAATACATTAATCGTGTAATCGGCCTCTAGATTTTTCCTTTCGGCGGGTTTATTGGGCACTTGTTGTGCCATGCTGCCAAACCGGTGACCAGAATTCTTTGGTTTCCGACACCTCGATTAGTACAACGTGACGAGAATTGGCAAGCACCACAAACAGCCGCCAAGACCACGACATCACTTTTCGCACACGCTACGCATTGTAACACGCACGCAATGCAAAGTGCACCCGCATGCGTGCAAGCGCGTGGTTTTAGTTGGATTTTGACATAAACATCCTTTTAGGTTGAAATCGGTGATTATTAATAGAGAGCTCGCCAGGAATTGAATGTGAATTGATTGCGACGTCTTCAGAGAGAAATTCTACAAAACGCAGTGATGTCAAGACGCTTCGTTGGTCTCTTGCCAGCATGGAGACCGTCAAAGGAGAAACGACCATTGGAGTTTGTAGGCATTGTAATTATTATGTGGCTGCGAGTTTCCTCTTTTAATGCAATCACTTGGGATAAGCGATGGGCAAGATTGGAGATAATTTTTGAGCCACGAGGTCGATTTGGACGAAATTATTTCAAATCGGAGAGGAGGAGCTAGTCTTAGACGCTGTTCTCAAACAGAGTATTGAATGGCTGGGCAAATCTCCAACAGCGGAGCCGTCAATGCATAGGGTACGAAAAGGGCAAGCTTCTAATAACGTTGCAAGTATTACAGTAGCCTTAGTAAAAAAAATAATGAACAATTTGGAATTTGGTGAAATTCAACAGTCGCTGATAAGAAATAAATATCAGGTGAATGTCAAGACGCTTCGTTTGGTCTCTTGCAGCCTGGAGACCGTCAAAGGAGAAGACGACCATTGGAGTTGGACATTGTAATAATGCTGCTGGAGTTTTCCTCTTTTTAATGCAATCACTGGATCAGCGATGGCAAGATGGATAGTTTTGGACCCAGAGGTCGATTTGGACGAATGTATTTACATCGGAGAGGAGGAGCTAGTCTTAGACGGCTGTCTCAAAGAGTATGAGAAGAGAGAGGATCTCAGACAGCGGAGCCCGTCAATGCATGGTACGAAAAGGGCAAGTCTCTAATAACGTTGCAGTTACTTACAGTAGCTTAGTAAAAAATAATGAACAATTTGGAATTTGGTGAAATTCAAAGTCGCTGATAAGAAAATAAATATCAGTGAATTCAAGACGCTTCGTTGGTCTCTTGACAGCCATGGAGACCGTCAAAGGAGAAGACGACCATTGAGTTGGACATTGTAATAATGCTGCTGGAGTTTTCTCTTTTAATGCAATCACTTGGATCAGCGATGGCAAAGATGATATATTTTGGACAGAGGTCGCTTTGGACGAATGTATTTAAATCGGAGAGAAGAGGACTAGTCTTAGACGGCTGCTCTCAAACGGAGTATTGAATGGCTGGGCAAAATCTCCAGACAGCCGACCCGACAATGTATAGGGTACGAAAAGGCAAGTCTCTAATATCGTTGCAGTTACTTACAGTAGCTTAGTACAAAAAAAGGATTTAGGAATTTGGTGAAATTCAACAGTCGCTGATAAAATAAATATCAGTGAATGTCAAAGACGCTTCGTTGTCTCTTGAAGCCATGGAGACCTTCAAAGGAGAAGGCGTCGATTGGAGTTGGACATTGTTAATTATGCTGACTAGAGTATATAACAGTAGGATTCGCGATGGCAAGAGGTATGGGTTTGGACCCACAGGTCGCTTTGGACGAATGTATTTAAATCGGAGGAGGATCTAGTCTTAGGCGGCTGTTCTCACACGGAGTATGGAATGGCTGGGCAAAATCTCCAGAACAGCGGAAAGAAATGCATAGAGTATGAAAAGGGCAACCTCTAATATCGTGTCAGTTATTACAGTAGCTTAGTAAACAAATAATGAACAATTTGGATTTGGTTGATCAGTATTGTATAGTTATTGTGGGTGATTATCGTTGCATTTCTAATGAATAATTATATGCGTCGTCATGCCAACAATATTATTTTTAAAAAAAGCAGCTTTCGATGGCTTACGCCATCATCATCAGTTTTCTGCTGCATGAAGCCACCAAAAACGTCTACGTAGCCGTTTGTTCAGTATTTCTAGATATTATAATAGGTAGGAGTCCAGCCTTAAAGTTGAATTTTCTAATGCAGAAATATATCCGATGATTATTCCGCTTTTAAAGAAATAGAGATAGACGCAGGATGGATGTTTCGCTGGTTTGATCCAATGTAGCTCAAGTAACAGGACTCAGACAGCGATTCGGCCGCTGTAGCTTATTTCCATTATAAAATATTCGAAGCGTTGTCTTAAATGAAGACTTTAAGATACATGCTAAATTAGTTTGCTAATCACGATAGTTATGAAAAAGAATGCAATACAGGAACAAAAGTATAAATTTAAAATGTCGACAACTGTAATTTTTTCTGAGATAATTATATCACACATTTACAAGAGCTAAAACAATTAAGATCAATGAACCTTATGAACAGAAAAGGAAACATTTAATAACTGTTTAGTATTCAACATAATTGTAAAGAAACAGTACAAGATCAAACTTTTGAAACATAGTATTGGAATGTTTGTTTTTTTTTCTGCAAAAAATGTCAGTGTTACTGTCAAGTAGAGTGTTTCAAAGTTGCTGCGGACTTGTACGGCCTTTGACAAATTGCTTCATGGTGCAGGCGATTTCCCTCATTTTAACTAACGCAGCCACAACACGCCGGATAATCAATCTCGTCGTCCGGCCCTGCAGGTAACACGCAGCGCGGGAGCGAGGGCGGGGGGGAGGCGCAGCAATATCTTGAAACTTGTATCATGAAATTCCCGGAGAACGCGTCGAGTTAGTAAACTGGCGGCGGCGGGGGCGTGAAGGATCGACGCAGGACGCTCGCGCTGCGAGCGCAAACGCGGCGGCGTGTTTACTGCGGCGAACGATTGAAGCTGGCAGGTTCGGCGTAGGTTGGCGGACGATGGCCGCAGACTGCCGGCGGCGAGCGGTGAGGAGGGCAGCGGGTGGGGGGTGGGGGTGGGGGTCGGGGCGCGGCGCAGACGGCGGTGGGGGCGGGCGGGGAGGTGGGCGGCGGGGACGGGCGTGGCGGCGGGGACGGTGGGGCGGCCGGGGGGACGGTGGGCGGCGGGGACGGTGGGCGCGGGACGGTTAAGGGCGGGACGGGGACGCCGCGGAGGTGGGCGGCGGGAGGTGTGGGCGAGGAGGGGCGGGCGGGAGGTGGGCGGACGGGGACGGTGGGCGGGACGGTGGGCGGCGGGGACGGTGGGCGCGTGGAGGTGGGTGGCGGGACGGTGGGCGGCGGGGACGGTGAGCGCGGGGACGGTGGCGGCGGGGACGGTGGGCGGCGGGACAGTGGAGCGGCGGGGACGGTGCGGCGGACGTGGGCGCGGGGACGGTGACGGCGGGGACGGTGGGTGACCGGGATGGCGGGACGTGAGAGGGAGGGGTGTGGTGATGGCGGACGCGGACGGGGCGTGGTGGGCGGGGCGGCGGCAGGGTGGCAGGCGTGGCGGGGGATGGGGCAGTCAGGGTGGCGGTGTGCTCGCGGGGACGGGGTAACGGGGCAGCGGGTGACGGGCAGCGGGTTCGGGGGAAACGGTGACGGGGCAGCGGTGGACGGGGCACGGGGACGGGGCAGCGAGTCAGGCACGGCGCCGATGCCGCTGTGCGTAGCCATGATGATTTAACCCTGGACTAAAACGCACGGTGCGTGGGGATCAGCGGGAAATGTACGGATGTTTGCTGTGCAAGCAGCGCCAATCGCCTGTCAGGGGAACGGGTCGAAAAACGTCGCTCTAAAAGTTATTCCTTCGCGTGGGAGTTCAGTGATTGATTTGCGCTGTTACTTGCAGCTAGAAGTAACTAAAATCAATGAACATGCAGGCGCATGGGGATTGAGATTTTAATTGCGTATTTTGGAAAACATTTAGTTAAAAGTTAAACGTGCATGCATTGTAAATTTTTAATGGCTGGAAAACAACGAGTTCGTTAATTCTGAACCAACATTTTCATTCATTGCAAATGTATCGGAAAGTATTCTAAATGTGATTATAATATCAGCAAAAAAACGTGCAAAATTAATCTTCCCATTACAACTCACTACAAGTTATCAATATAACACAATACAAGAAATAGAAATATGACAAGTATGTACACAATAAGGTAATAAAGAATTAAATAGAGCATTGTTTGAATGTCATTCTTTGTGGCAAACAAGATTAAATTTTTTTCTACAATTCTCTCAACTTCTAGAATAGAGTTGTACTCGATTGCGACTCTATTTAACCGTCCTGGGCAATGTATGAGATGAATATAATGAGAATTTGTGATGGTTGAAGAGAGAGAGGCTTGGATTGTGTGCCTTCAACACCCAGTTGCACTCAGGGCGCGCTGTACCGTGCCGCGCATGACTCGCCGACAGGAACTGTTTACGTAACATTTCTTGTCATTAGTATTCGATATTAAATCTTCAGGTTAGTAGGGAAAATAAATATTTGTGATGTTAAGGTTCGTGTTTGATTTATATTTCAGTAAGAAACGCACTCTTTAGCGTTTCTTAGATAAAATCTAACTCGGAGTTAGCGTCGAATAACATTGATCTGGAGCAACGTAGTGTTCAATTAAGTCATAAAAAGGAAACCTAATGCATATTTTGGACAATTTTTCTTCATTGAAAAAACTTGAATACAAACCATTATTACTGATTCCTCTCCAAACAGCGGTAAAGATTTAAGTAAAAAGATTGATTGATCAATCAACGTTTCCGGGCACGTCAACTGTTATGGTCATGAGTCCCGGGAGGCAGTAAACGTTTATCTCTGGAGGAGGCGTGTTCCTCACCAATATATTGTCAGATCCCGCGGACAATATATACGCTTAGATTTGTGAGGTTTCCCCTCCAGGAATCTCCCACTTCCAGCGGGCCACCGTCCAAGTCGGACAAGCTCTCAACTCGTGACTGGTCGGTCGACATGAGTGGAACGCAATGCACGTACGTGTTGTGTGTGTGTGTGTGTGTGTGTGTCGGAGATAAAAGGAATATATAATATCATGGCATGTCATGAAAGAAGTGACGAAGAAATTGGTGAAAAACTTGTAACAAAAAGAACGAAAGGGCGTTACAAACAAGGTTAGGAACCACACTAGGCGCTTCACAGAAGCGAACGTCCGCAAAGGTGTGTCCCAGAGAGGGGCCCCTCACAGAAATCAAGCCCATCGATCCACACACCAACGCCACACCTCCAGCACACGGCCAAACGCCGTCGATCCACCAGTCACACACGGCGATCACACAGCTCTACACGGAAGCACATGCTGCGGCGAGGGCGGGCGACGGCAACAGGGTGCAGGTGGGGGGGCTGTGCGAGGGCGGGCGACGGCAGCAGGTGCAGGAGGGGGGACTTGGCGTGGGCGGGCGACGGCCAACAGGGTGCAGGTGGGGGAGGCTGTGCGAGGCGGGCGACGGCAACAGTCAGGGGGGGAGGCTGTGGGGCGGGCGACGCAACAGGGTGCAGGTGGAGGGGGGAGCTGTGCGAGGGCGGGCGACGGCAATAGGGCGCAGGTGGGGGAGGGGGCTGTGCGAGGGCGGGCACGGCAACAGGGAGTAGTGAGAGGGCGGAGCTGTGCGAGGGCGGGCGAC